TTCTCGGTATTTAAATGACGTCAGGTGATGTAACAAACAACAAACAACACTAACCACGTTTATTTCGAGTGTTTCAAGCAAACTCCACTTAAAGCAGGCTTCAATCTGGATTCTAATCCAAAAATCGTTTATTTCACATTAATTTGAGGGAGATAATATCAATTAGCTTCACTCAAATCAATCTTAGAGAACAGTGATGGGATTGACTTGACATATTCGGCGCTGTGCTGACTAACTAGAACTTCCGGAATGCACATTAATCTATCTTACTACTTTAATTAATGAGTCATTCCAAAAAGGAGTTTTCCAAACTGCCTTAAGACAGCAATAATTATTCCTCTGCATAAAGGAGGAGATAAAGATCAAGCTTCGAACTATCGCCCAATTGCTCTCCTGCCCACATTATCTAAGATCATTGAAAGATTGGTTAAAAAAAGGCTTCTATCTTTTCTCCTTAAATATAAAGTACTGTCTACCCATCAATTTGGATTTCTAAGTAACTAATGCTATGTTCGACCTTTTTAATAATGTATACTCTAGCCTGTGAATAACCATCACTCTACAGCTACAATTTTCTGTGATTTCTCTAAGGCTTTCGACTGTGTAAATCATAATATCTTAATTAACAAATTGCAATACTATGGATTCAGGGGAATGCCGCTCGAATGGCTTAAGTCGTATCTTGGCAACAGAAGGCAGCTTGTGAGGATTGATACGTCTATATCTTCTTGTAAGCCTATAGAATGTGGTGTCCATCAGGGTTCAGTACTTGGCCCTATTTTATTTCTGGTGCTTATCAACGACATTGCAAATCTAGGCATTAGCGGTAAAATCTGCCTCTTTGCGGACGATACTAGTTTCACTTGGAGCGGCCCAGATGTTACGGCACTATATAATACCAAAGATAATACTATATCCAGTGACTTACGCACCATTAAATCTTGGTGCGATTCTAATCTCCTATGCCTCAACCTTTCAAAAACTAAAGTTTTGTCATATAAAAGTACTATACAACCTTTTGTACTTAATAACACCACTATTGACGTCGTGGACTCTGTGAGATTCTTAGGACTTGTTAAAATGGAACTTGCACATCGAAGCCTTATCAAAGAAACTAAGCTCTGCCTGTTTTGCGCTAAGATCTGTTTCTAAGGAACTTAACTCATCAACCTCTAGAATGGTTTATTATGCCCTTTTTGAATCGCATCTTCGTTATGCCCTTCCATTCTGGGTACTTGCTGCGCGACAAAATTTGATCGTATTTTCAAACTTCAAAAGAAAGCAGTTCGATACTTATTGGGACTAAACAGTAGAACTCACTGCTAGAATTTCTTTAAAAATTTCAAAATACTGACTCTTCCTTCCTTATTCATTTTTGAATCCGTTTGCTTAATCCGCAAGCACATATTCTCTATTCCGGAAAGGCCTTCTCACAACTATCCACTTAGGAATGCGGAGCACGATATTTATCTGCCAACCCCGAGCTCAGAACTAGCTAAGGGCTCAATACTGTACAATGCCAAGAAAATGTACAATCATTTGCCTTCGAATATCAAGTCACTTTCATTCTTTCCCGCATTTCGCAAAGCTCTGAAATCATACTTACTGGAGAGAGCCCTATATATGAATTGATTTGTATTGTATGACATTTTTTGTATTATTTGTATATTTGTTTTTGTGCTTTTTTTTTGTTTTGCTTTGTCGATGAAGCTGTTTTGGCTTTTTGTACAATAAAGCGTTTTTTTTAGAGATGGGGACATTCCGGGAATCTTATTTTGAGGGAATGTTCCTGGGAACGTTCCCCAAATCGGGATAGTGATGGGAATGGAATTTTTTTTTAATGTTATGAAAAATTGGAAACTTTCCGGGAAGGTTCTCGGAAATATTCCCCAAAGGGGGCAGAAAAGTGATAAAGTTAAGAAAATATAACTTTCAAAATATATTTAATAACAACAAAATAAAATATATAGATAACAACCGAAGCAACACAAGTCGATAAAAGAAACAAATTTAGGTTATGTTTATAACCTAGTTTCTCTTCTTCTTCTGGCGTGGCCTGTTCACAACTTTTCCAATGTTTTGATTACTTTCCCAAAATTTAAGAAAAGTTCCCGAAAAGTAGGGAATGTTCCGAGGAATATTCCAACTCATCAAAATACAACTTTCCCGAATTTCAGTCACTTTCCAGACCTTAGAGGAACGTTCCCGGAACATGGGCACGTTCCGACCTGCACATCACTAACTGTGTGCCTTTACAAATTGAATGCAATACTGTTTGTTCATGAGAATAAAGACCTTTTTAACCATAATAGGCTAGAGCATGATTATGATACAAGGAATAAGCGAATAGTAATGGGTGAGAGGTGTAACTTTAGTTATATTCAGAAAAATGTTAAGAACTTCTCAATATCTCTATATAACAGCCTTCCTGAAACTGTTCGTTTGCTTCCTATATTTGCAGTTATACAATAGTACTTGATAAGTAAAGCGTTCTATTCAGTGGACGATTTTTACCACGACAACGACAGGATTAATTTGTTATTAACATAAATTTGGAATTTTGTATATACCTATATTGTTAACTACTAATCATATATCATGGATATGATTATATATCTTCTTACTTCTCTGTTAATTTAGTTATTTTTTATTATTCATAGTAATAGTGAACATTTTTGACATGTTCTACACCCTTCGGGTTATTTGTATGTAACATCTGTTATTATACTATTAAATTATTTCAACATTGAATTTTTCTTTATTTCGGCCCTATAAAGTAATAATTTCACTATATTTTCATTATATTATAGTTTATCTAAAAGCTACACTTGATTGGGGATAGAAAAATGTCCGAAATTTTACTGAAAACACTTTTCTTAACAAAATAACAAAGAAAATTGAGCCCAGATGGAAGTTTGACATTTGATATATCCTTCTTTCTCTCTCCTACGTAATGAGAGAGACAAATATATTCTAGACCTAATCTAGAAATTTTAAAATTTACAACGTTGCCATATCTTCTATTTTTTCGGGTGATTAGGGATTTTAAATAAGTTACCTATTATGAGATAGATAGATAGATAGATAGATATTTCTTTATTTATTTCCAATGTTTACAATAAAAACACATAAAATAGCCCAAACAGGCATGGAAACATTGTCAAATAAGAATATTTCACACCAAAATAATATAATTACAGTTAAGATAATACTACAATTAAACTAAGATCTTAACTAAGTAAAATAAGCAAATACATAGAAGAAATAAAAAACGATAGAATTAATATATACAAACAACAAATATTACACATTAGATATCAGACTTATAAACACAGCTTTATCGGATCTGTAAAATTCTTCTAATGAATAAAAGGCTTTCTTTGCTAGAAAGATTTTTAATGTGGCTTTTAACTTGTTTCTTGCCAAACCTCGAACACATTCGGGAAGGAAATTGTACATTTTTATTAATGAGAAATCAACATTTTTTTGTAGGTAGCTAAAATTATATTTATCTCCGACTAAATAGGACTTATTTCGCGTAGGGTAATTGTGAGTTAGTTTCAAATTTTTGAAAAATTGCCAGTTATCATAAACAAACATTATACACTCTACAACATATATACTTGTTATTGTTAGTATTTTTTGTTCAATAAAATAATTTTTACAGCTCTCCGTGGGTTTCATTCTAAATATTGAACGTATGCATTTCTTTTGCAAAAGCAAAATTCTCCCGATATCGCTCGAGTTTCCCCAAAATATTATGCCATACTTTATCCTTGAGTAGATAAATGCATAGTACGCTGAAAGTGCAGCATCTACCCCAACAGCGTCTGATATTATCCTCAGCGCAAAAGAAAATTGTGCAATTTTAACCGCCACGGTTTCAATATGTCCTCTCCAGTCCAGTCGTTCATCAATTCCCACTCCCAGAAACCTTATACTTTTAACTGAATTAATTTTAATATTATTATACATTAGCTCAAAATCCGAAGAGATCGACAATAATAATTATTAAATATACCTACCTATATCCACAAAGTTACGCGGAAGAGTTTTGATTGCATTGGTTTCAACTTCTATTCCGAGGGGGTTAGTATTTTTTTTTGTTATATTATATCTATAACCACAAAATTGCACGAAAAGAATTTTGATTGCATTGGTTACAACTTCCATGCGGAGGGTGTTAATCTTTTGTTCTTATATTATATCAAAAAAAGATTTAACCCCCTCCGCAAAGAAGTTATATAAAGACTATTTATAACCATGAAGTTGCACGAAAGAGTTTTGATTGCATTGGTTTTAACTTCTTTGCGGAGGGGGTTAATCTTTTTTTGATTTTAGGTTTAGCATTGACAACGTTGCTTTAAATGCCAGAAACATATAAACCAACATTTTCAGATTGTTTATAAATTTATTTTAGCAAAGAACTGGTTAAAAAAGTAACAGAAAATAGCAACAACATCATTGTTTATTGAATACCTAACAAAATATGTGCTAGAAAACCTTAAAAATATGAGAAATTAAGAAAAATTCGATGTAGATATAATTTTCCGTTTTTCTGAAAAACGGTAAGAGACCAGCAAGAAAAAAGTTCAGATTTGTAACCTACGACCTCAAAATAGGATACCAATACCAGGTATACCAATTTTGGTGAAAATCTGACGATTTCCAGTTTTCCCAATAATTACCAAAAGCAGTAAATAAAAATGAAATTTCTACACACTGTATACCTCTGAAAAGAAGCATTTTAGGACCGGATAAGTTTACACTTTTTTACTTATTTTTACCTGCAGAATATGCTGTCGAAGTTTTCCGAATACAACTAGAACCACCCTGTATAATGACGTGACGTTGAACGATCACTGAACAAACAATACACATGTTTATATCGGTATACGAAGCCAACTTAGCTTGAAACTCACTCGAAGTAAACGTGGTCAGTGAGCAAAATTCATATATTTCTGCGTGACCTGTTGCACACCGTGAACAACTTCACTCACCTCCAACTTATTGAGTAACTCCTGGACATCCTGCTCCCTGGCGTCGGCTGCCGATCCCAGCAGGCCCCTGTCCACGACCGAAGGGCCATTTAAATTGGCCCTCCACTTGCTGATCAACTTGTTGGCTGTTCTCTTACGTTTGGACATAAACATTAAGGGACTGTGTGTGTCGCGCTGCTTGTTCGGGTAACAACAATTTAAAGGACATTTGGGGGCCACAATTGTAATTTCCTCCTCTAGATCGCAGCACCACTCACTATTATATCTATCCGTAACACTGTTGGAAGCGAGAGGAGAAGGTTTCCGGTAAATAAATGGCCGAATGAGGGGCGGAAAATTGCTAAAAAATCGGAGTTGGCTGGCGGAGCCTAGACGCGACGTACACTCTCCACAACGGTCGAAACGAAACTGAATCGGCGGAATTCGGTTTGGCGTCGGAGAAGGTCGTCGTTTGATTCGGGCGGGGCGGGAGTGGGGTGAGGGGTATGTGGCGCCAGGCGAAGGCAGGGGCGGACTGGCTACAGGAAGACGGACGGGATTTTTTCGGTGTTAAGTGGTTACGAATAATGAAAATTAAGTTTTTACTTGATAACTAAGGTGTAACATATTGGTTGGACGTTTGTTTACAAGTAAAAAAAAGATTCATTGTCTTAATATTTTAGAAGTGTTAGACGCTTTTAAAGGGAAACACCCTTTTCTATAGGAGATAGACGAAAACTAATATCGGTGTCTGGAGCTCAATTTTGATCAAAAACATGATAGTGAAAACCGCACATCGATATCTGTTACCCTTTCGGAGCTACGGGGTGTTTTTCAAAAATGTGTATTTTTAACAAATGGCTGTAACTTTTTTGCTATGGAAAATTTTGTATTTTTGTGAAAACATTTCTAAGGCACCTTTTTACGTAAAATTTCGTGGTTTAAGTACCTATAATATTTTTTTAAATTAATAATTTAGAATTAGAATTAGAATAAGTGGGAGGGGGGTTAATCTCTGCGACCTTAGAGATCTATTGTGTCCCCCTTTCTTGAGTTATAACTCATTATACAGTCCCAGGACTTCCTACGGAGACCCGTGTCCCTCACAGTCGAGAAGCTACGACCCAGGCCGGGTAGACGAAACGGTAACTTGTGTCGCCTGTTGGGTTTAGAGGTAGGAGGTAGGCTCCCGACCCTTGGAGGAGGTGGTTGCTTGTATGACTTGTGTCTAGCCCTAGCAGGCAACTGTTAAGCCCGACCAATCACGTTAGAATTTTTGACAAACACAAATGAATTAACACACTCCAAATAACCACGCTAACCAACCTGATTGGTCAAGCTTAATAGTTGACTGCTAGGACTAGACACTTCTCTTGTGTGCCACTTGCGGAGGATGGTCTCATGCAAGTGTCAGCCACCTCTCCTGTAGTTCTCTTTGGGTTTGGCCCCTTGGAACTTTCATTGTTACTGTTCCCAGTGTCGCTAAGGGGTTTCCCCACAGCTTCACCGGTGATGTTTTTATTACTATTATTATCAGATCTCATAGTGTTCCTATGAGTCGTTAGGGACAGTCGGTCCACTTCTACAGAGCCCCGCATGTAGAAGTAAGGGGTAAAATACAATGGGGTGCCCCCCGGCGCCCCAAGGTTGAGGCTGCCCGTAGCCCCGCCCGGTATCGTTATATGTCTTGGTGCAATTCCCTGGCCACGACACTACAGTCAGGGACAAGACGATGAGTGAGATGCTTCTTAGACCAAGCCAAGTGCTAGAGGGGATTCCCCCAGCACCTGACCAGGAGCTTCCCCACCAACGACAAGGTCTTGCATCTCCTAGGGGAAGATTAATAATTTAAGAGTTATAAACAGAAAAAATGATTTTTTATTTGGGACAGCTAAGTGAAAAGAACTTAAAATTACTTTTCCAAAAATATATAGCACACTTGATATTTTGTTATAGCCCGCTTCGAAATACAGAAATTTTATAATTTCGCCACTTTTAACTAGTAGACTTTGGACCCCTTATTGATGATATGCCCTTAATGGAACTCGAAAACATAGTTTTCCAGCAAGACAACGCACCGCCTCAGAACGCTGAAGTTATCAGCAAATTTTTGCAGCCAATTTCGAGTATAATTAATAGCTAACCAAGATCCCAGCCGTTATCCGTCGAGGCCGTCGGAGTTAGTGCTTGTTATCTTCAGTGAATTTTTATCCTTGCGGAAGAATAAAAGCTCTTATTTTTAGATTGCCCGTATTATATAGATATATAGATATAATAGACACGAATTAATAGTTAGTTTTTATACAAGACGATAAAATGGACCGAAAAGATTAATTCACGAGCGATAAAATCGCGAGTAAATTATTTTTGGGAGACGATAATGCAATTTTATCGTCGTGTATAAAACGAATTATTATTTCAAGGAATTTATTACGAGTAGAAAAAATATTGTGCTGAGCTGGCGTTGGTTTCTATGTAATTTGACAAATAAATAAAGCTGTCTCTTTAGCTGTCAGTTTTGAGCATAGACAAACAAATAAAAAGAGACTGGCAAATTAAATGGCAAAGAGAGGGACAACGTTCCCGTAGCGCAACTCAGAACGCAAAATTTCGTTCTATTTATGTTGATCTGCGCATTGCGTCTATTGGGTCCACTATCTCATTCTAATATAACAAGAGAGAAAGAAGTTGCCATATAAAACGTAATTTCTAAATAGAATTAGAACAATCGCCTTTCGTTTTCGTCATCATGACAACCAAGATGACAACATCATGACAATTCGTCATGTTTGTTAATTTTTCTTTTCGTGAATTACCTTTTTTTCTAAACTCTCCATTTTATTGACTTATGAATATGGATAGGGAACAAATTCCTTTGTTCCATATAGGTATTTATATTTTGCTACTTATAATTTTAGGTTATACTATTTGTTATTTTATTTGCTGCAGGAGCCAGTATAGATGATGAACAAAAAGAAATTAAAAAGCGAAAATCGTGTAAAAAGTGGTTGCTGGAGAGAAAGAAATATTCACATATGAGGTTAGTAAAAGTATATTGTTTATTTTCTTTTTCATCACTTCTTGTGATGCTTCTGGGAACAATTCCTGAAATTTTTTAAACAAAATTTCATGACTGGAATTTCTTTTCATTTTATTTGCATAATCTATCTTCTCTATATAAATCAATAAAGTCTTCCCAGAACGTCTTATTTTTTAAATCCATAATATTGACTAAACCAAGAATAAATAAAAATTATATCGTGACTGCGCGCTGCGGCAGGGAATACAGTACGTCTGCTGATGAAAGGAATGCGGACAAAAAACATTTAAATAAACAGCAATATATTTTATACGTCGACTTGACGAGTACGTCACCGCAAATCGCTCCGCCCACTCATTTTATTGGCCACTTGCAAATTTGTCGAATTTTTATTGATGGGACGCGTCGTCTAATTTTTTACGAAAAACATCGAGAGAATATCGTTTCTCCTCTCACGGATACCCCGTAGCCACAGAACGGACAGACATACTGTACACTCTACACGTTCAGACTTGCGTTCAAACCCCATCCCAGACACGACCCGTTGATACGATATTTTACGGAAGCTCCGTACTGCAAACAATTGACGACTGCATAGTGCAAACCAGGGGGGTGACAGTAAACCGGAAAATTGGAAACAGTTGTGGCGCGGTTCTACCCAGGCAGAAAGCATGGCCTTCTAGACTGTCCTAGACAAAAATCTGAATATTTCTATATGATTTCTGTCAATTTCTGCTACGGAACATTTTTATGCACGTCGGCGTCCTGTTCTTTTGTCTTTTGTCTGTGTGTCAGCGTCAGCTCCCGAGGCCTCTGGCAAGGTCGGGCGCCATTTTAATTTTTGCCGTTTAGATTTGATTGGAAGTTTGTTTCTGATATTTCGGCTGAAATTTATAAGTACAAAGATGTTTTTTGATATAAAGTTCCTTGTTAACACTTTAATTAAGTATATATGATATTAATTACATGAAGAAAATGATGAAATCGACGTTTCTGCGTGTAGTAGGTATGAGCCATATTATATGTAAAAATAGGTAATATATTAACTGTTTTTATATTTTTTTAGCTTTAAACCCAAGGATCTTGGGATATTCTTTGCCAAGGATTTTTCCGTATCTCTACTTTAAAGACTGATCGGTGATTTTGAGCAACTGAAAGCAAGTTATACAAGGTAAATTATGATTATTGAAGTATTATTAGCCTACATTAATTTTCTACAAGATGAACAGAAATGCGTAATTACATATCACATAGGTACCTATTATGTATTTTCATAGCAATAATGCTATAAATCTATGTATGTAGATTATTTTTAAAATACAAATGAGGTATTAGATGTATATGTATTATATTTTTTATTCATTTTATTTTCATTCAAGTCCTGTTTGATTTAATTCACAAAAGTCTTATGTACATTTATGTTTTTTACATATTTTTTTTGATTCTAGGTTTTGTGTGGGTTTCGGTTGCCTTTTTCCTGCTTCCAGTTATTTAGTTTTATGCCCGTGAAGCTGTGAAAACATTTATTTATCTTCAAGTTTCTGTAAGTCAATGCACTGTTACTTTACTAATTCACTTTAACACAGCATCTCTGATATTATTTAAATATTTGATATTTATACAGTAGTTTATTGGATTATAGCTCTTTAATTGTGTTGATTTGCATATTTACATTGTTCTAAATTCCAAATAAATATTTTTGAGTAATTTTGTTGTATTATTTACTACTAGAAAGAGTAAAAACTATATTAACCCTCATTTAAACCTCCTGAACAGCCCGCCATTAAAAAACCGAAACGGAAAGAAATTTCATAAAATTGAAATTGTCATGTCTATGTCATGTCAAATGTCCCAGCCGCCATATCTGAAAATTAGTTACCCAGGCAGCCACGCTGTTTCCATAATTTAACATTGACTTGACACTTCTTCTTGTATTTATTATTTTATGGTGCAAACCATCCAGTTTCCATACAAACGCTACGATTTATCGTTAATGCGGCAGTTTCGATGGATATCGTACTGCATGCGTACTATGGTTCCTGGTTTTACCCTTTGGGTACGGAACCCTAAAAAACATGAAATAGTGATCAATCCGGGCCTGGCGAGAGCATTGCATGCGGACGTGCGCCACCGACGGCGGTCTAGACAACTGAGAGGAGCCGGCGGCGGTGGCGACGGCACGAAATTGTGTTTCGTTGCGCCACCGCGCGCCGCACATTCATTTCCAAGACGCAACCCTTGCGGCACGGGCGCCGACCACGTGCTGACGATGCACCGGCTCCGACGGGGGATGGAAATAAGGCGATGATGACAAACGACCTGCGAGGGGGGTAGCAGGGTGAGATAATCCAGGTAATAAGCCTGTATAATGATTTGTTT